TTCCAAAGATCTATACATGTGAGACTTTCTTTTTAAAGTCTTGGCTATGAATAAATAGCATTGTTACTCAGAGGTACATTTTCCCTCCATGAGAATCACTATAATTTAGAACTATCAAAAACTTGCTATTAATTTAAATTATAACTTTTTGGCTTTCACTGGACTCAGAGGTAAAACCTCACACATACATATATAGGTGCACACACACATGCATGCACATATACATACATGCACATTCCTAGGCACACACATACACAAGAAAGCATACATTAACTCAAGGGCTTTTCTTTTATTTGCCTTTTTTAAAAAACAAAATAAAATATAATAAAATAAAACAAAACAATTACATCGAAGTTTGATAAGGCATTCTGACAGAAGGAGAAGAGCCCCAAGAGAAGGCACAAGAATCAGAGACCCACGTGCTCACACATTCAGAAGTCCCATAAAAGTATTAAACTAAAAGCTAGAGTATATACACAGAGGACCTAGTGCCAACCTGTACAGGTCCTGTGCTTGCTGCTTCAGTCTCTGTGTTCATATGAACTTTGCTCAGTTGATTTAGTGGGCCTTGTTCTCCTGGTGTTCTTCATCTTCTCTGTCTCTTAAACTCATTCTGCCTCCTCTTCTGCAGGACTCTTTCAGCTCTGAGGCCAGGGATTTGGTAGAAACATCTCATTTAGAGCTGTGTCTTCTAAGGATACTCTCTCTGCATAACGTCTGGCTGTGGTCCTCTGTATTTGTACATCTGCAGAAGGAAGTGTTTCTGATGGTGGTTGAATAAGGCACTGATCTGAGTATGGCAGAATATCTTTAGGAGTAAATTTTATTGTTACTTTGTTCTTTTTAAATCTTCATTGTTACATTTTTGACCTGTAGTATTTAGTTTTACCCAAGGTCTCTGGAGATACCTAGTCTCTGGTTCTTGGTTACACAAGCCTTGTCAAGTATGGGTTCTTTCTTGTGGGGTGGGTCTTAAGTCAGACAGGGTTAACCAAACATTGGCTGGTTAGATGCAAGGGTTTCTCATCATTGGTAACCTAAAATTCTATCACTAGTTTCCTAGAAGACTCAGAGTATGAAGTAGATTTAAAAAAAATCAGATGGATAGAATTCAGAGAAGTAAATTATAGTCATTAAATTCCAAGTATACAGTTTTTTCTTATAACAATACTTACTAACTCTCATGAATATTGTAATATTTTGACTGTAAAAGGAAGAAAAAAAATTCAATTTGTACTATGAGAGTCAAAGCCATTCCCCTCTTTCTTGTCATACATGCTTTGATTCAAAGATTCCATGTTTTGATTCAAAGATTCAAAATACACAATTCTAGGCAGTCACTACACCAACATTCTATATAGTTTACTTTCTAAACTTTTGTCTCACTTACAGATTGTATCTATCACAAATATCCAATTTAAACATTTTTTTCTGAGACAAGGTTTCTCTGTGTAGCCCTGGCTGTCCTGGAACTCACTCTGTAGAGCAGGCTGGCTTCTAACTCAGAGATTCACCTGCTTCTGCCTCTCAAGCACTGGGATTAAAGGCATGTGTCACCACTGCCTGGCTAATAAATTTCCCATTTAAGTAAACATCCTCTTACTAGAACCTGGTTTGTTTGAACATCAAGTTCCTGCCTTGCTGATTTATATATATTGTCCTACCTGTAAACTGTTTCCCTATACTAGGCTTTAGATATCTAGAGATAACTTACCCAGGCATAACCTTTTAAGTAATATATTATTTAGTTTTACTGTTTCAATTTTTCTGTTATAAAAGTGCACTCATGTTTTCTGTGGCAAATGTTTTGTTCACATAGCGTTGTAGTTTTTGAGATACATCACTGTTAGAATCTGTTGTATGATATATTATTTAACACTACTGTAGTATTCCATTGGATGAATGTAACAGAATGTACCTATTCTTTCTTCTACTGAGGAATGTTAGAATTGCTTCCAACATTTGACTTTTACAAGCCACAAAGTTATAAACAGTCCTTTACATATCTCCCTATAAACTGCATGAATTTTTTTTAGAGAAAAGATTTATAAGACATATTTCTTTTTTTAAAGGTTTATTTATTTATTATATATGAATACACTGTATTTGTCTTCAGGCACACCAGAAGAGGGCATCAGATCTCATTACATATGGTTGTGAGCCACCATATGGTTGCTGGGATTTGAACTCAGGACCTCTGGAAGTGCAGTCAGTGCTCTTAACCACTGAGCCATCTCTCCAGCTCATAAGACATATTTCTAAGCGATCCATTATAGTGACCCAATTTAAATTCTCACAAACAGTAAATGAGATACTTATTGCACTATAGCCTTTCCAAAACTGTGTATTGTTGTCAAACATTCTAATTTTTACCACTCTGGAGGGTGTAACACAATATCTCATTGTGGTTTTGATTTACATCTCTCTGGTCATGAATCATGGTGAATTTGCTTGTTAAAATAATAAAAATTTTCCTCTTAAACATTTGTTTCAAATTAGGTAATAATTAGTTGATTTAGAGAAACTGTAACTAATCCACTTTTTATGGATCATCTGTCATAATTTCTTTCCCTATTATCTATCTATCTATCTATCTATCTATCTATCTATCTATCTATCTACTATCTGTCTACTATCTATCATCTATTTATCTATCTACTCATCTATCAATCATTGGTTGACATATCATCTATCCTCTCTATATATCTGAATTTTATTAACTATTAAAAATAAGTTATGGAGCTTACAAATCATCTGAATAGAATGCGTCTCTTTCCCCACTGTTGTAATTTTAACTTTTTATTCATTAAAACATGAAAGGCACTGGAGTTTGTATTTTTCACATAAGGTGTAGGTTTATTTCTCTTTAGTTTAGTTAATGTCTTCATATTAGTATCAAAACACTGACTTAAATAATGGAAACATTTCATGATGAAAGCTTATTTGCTATGTGTACATGCTGAGTTTCTTTTCTGTGTACTCAAGATTTAGGTCATTTTAATTTCATTGACCAGTCAATTTAGACATCGTGCTACTGAACAAAATTAGTTTTTTTATTTTTATCTAGCTGTTTTATATTTTCTTGAGGTTTATGTAATAATACTTTTTGTACTTCATATTGGATATTAACTTACTTTTATTACACTATTTGATATTATACATATTAATAGCTATCATATAAAATGAAAGTAAGTTTGAGAGCACTAGTTGTTCTTCCAGAAGACTCAGGTTCAAGTCCCAGCACCCATATGATAACTCACAACCATCTGTAACTCCAGCTCTTGAGCCTTCAAGGGCACTACACATACACATGATACACATACATACTGACAAAATGCCTATTCATTTAAATAAATATTAAAATGAAAGTATGTACATGGCAACATATATACCATAATTTTGTTTATATATTCAAGATATTTATCAATCAAAATTAACTGCATATTTAATTTTATCATAACCATGGTAATTGGTTTCATGACTTAATTACCCAAGGGTTTAAAATACTCTTCTATGGTCACTTTTACTGGGATGAAAAAAATGAAAATTTTAGAATTATACTGAGAAAAAAACCCACTAATGTTCCTCAGCTGTTTCTATTTCCAGTGGCCTTTTCTAATAAGTTGGGAAAATATTCAAAATAAACTTCAACTTTGAACCTGCTGAATTCCATGTGGTTGCCAATAAAGCCTGAGGCTGAAGTTTTTATTTTTTTTCAAAAGCATTTTTAGAAAAATCTCCATTCTAGATTTAGACAGCATCGGTTCACATCTAAATAAATCTCAATATAACCAGATCTTGATCCTAATAAAAGAAAGTTAGATTACAATTATATAGAAATTATGGAAGCATAAGGTTTTCTTAACTCAAGAGTAGTATTACAGGATAATTGAAATAAGATTTTGCTAATAAAATACTTTATTGCTTTTTTAAAAACAGTCTTCTTAATACGATTGAATGTTCACATAAGTTTTTGCCTTGACTTTATAGATATCCTTGACAATAGCTTAGATGATCATTAAAGCATAACAGTAGCTAATGGATCACAAGGGCAAGATCAACAAAATTTCTCAGATCACAGTGGGAGGTAGACGCATCCCAGAACACAAATTTGACATCTTTGAAGTTCAGTAAATTTTAATGCAGTATGAATGTAAGGCAGTGAAAAATATACAGTGATTTCATCTTAGCTTCGATGGTCACTCAACCTGGAAAGATGTATACCAGCCAACATACTTGTTTAATTTATTTAGCAGTAGAGTCAAGTTCATTTCTGACCCTGTATGTCTCTGGGTTCCTCTTAGATCGGGTCTGTGACTACCCTTGCTTTCAATCCTTCCACTCTGACAACACTAACCTTCTACTCATACCTTGAATCAGCCAAGTCATTCCTGTTCCAGAACCATTATCAAGCCATCAATCTAGGACCAACCTCTCCCTAGGGCAGTCACAGCAGCCTCCCTCTGTCACCAACTACGTCAACACCACCTCCTTAGAGACTTTTCAGGATAGCCACAGTCTTCTCCTTATACTTCATTTATTTGCTTTATTTTTCGTTGCTGCACTTATTACCTCTGGACCTTTACCTATCTAACTGTTGGTAAGCTTTCTTCTCCATAGCTCTAGCAGGCAGGGACTATGGTATCCTTAACTTATAGAGCAAACCTACCTTTATGCAGACTCTACCTCTTTCTAGTGCTAAGCTCTCAAGCAATAGGAAACACCTGGCTCCATGTTTTGTCCCTCAGTGACCCTGTTTTAAGGACATGTTGCCATGCTACAAAAACAAATACAATTTTTTTTCTCATTTTTGGACTAGTTTAATGGTAACCTAAATGTGGCAGATGTATCTCCTCTGAATTTCCTTTCAAACCCACCGTTTAAAATGAGGATTTTAACAGAAAACCACACCAGTATATGCTTTAAAGTTAAGTTCTGTACAACTCCACTTTCCACTTGCAATGTTACAAAATTCACAGGAATCTTCTTTTGTCATCCAGGGCCCTATGATGATACATCAACATCTTGTGCTATCAACTGTCAAAACTTTGGATGGTCTAACACTCAGGTATTGCATATATTTCAACAAAATATACAAAGTAACATCTTGGGTTAGCAATAAAGTCAAGGGTATTAAGAATGCAATAAGTATAGAGACAAAAATTCCACAGAAGATTGCACAGTTTGCTTATGAATAAGAATCTTGAGTGGCAACCCAATAAACAACCGGTAAAGGTAGAATTGTATACACCTATCAACTTAAAATTATTTTCTTAGGACATTGCAAACTAGATTTAACCCTATAATTGTGTGTCTTTGGCTAGATGGTTAGGAATACTAAGTTAATTTTGAATGTGTCATATTTTTATTATAGTGATTTAATGATATAATTTAAATTTAAATATATCATTTAATATACATATATTGTATTGATCTAGAGATGATTTTTAAATATTATAATATAGTTTGGTTATTCATTTGAACTAAATGTATGTTTTGTATAGGATTCTTTGTTTTCTTAGCCACATAATCACTGTTACATTGTATCTACAAATGAGGTGAGAAAAAGTTTCTTATAAGTGGTGGCGCATGCCTTTAATCCCAGCACTTGGGAGGCAGAGGCAGGCAGACTTCTGAGTTTGAGGCCAGCCTGGTCTACAGAGTGAGTTCCAGGACAGCCAGGGCTGCACAGAGAAACCCTGTCTCGAAAAAAACCTAAAAAAAAAAAATTAAAAAGTTTCTTATAATTAGAATATGCAGGGTACCTTAATTATAAATAAAAGAACAGAAATATAGGAAAATGAACTGCTTCACTATTTTGCAGTATTCCAGATACTATTTTTAGGAATCCTTAGAAAACATTGAATTTTATTCTGTCAAAGAACAGCAAGCATTATAGGTATTGGTGCATACAAAAAGAGAGACATGTTCAGCCATTACAGTGCTATGGCAAATAAAATAACTATGCATCTATTTGCTACACTTGATGGTCCATACAGTATTTGATTAGATTTTCTTACCCTAACTTACTTTTGGTAAGGCTGAAGGTTTTTTTTTTTTTAATAATTCAAAATACTATTAAGGTATAGTAATCATACTGAAAGTAAAAATGTGCTATCTTAAATCCAAAGCTTTGTAAGATGGTTCCTTTTTTTCTGTTTTCGAGCTGTGCATTTCTTAAAAAAGAATGCCCAACCTACTTTGCTAGGCCCCAAAATAGACCATGTGTAATTGTTCTTTGTCCCAATGCCTATCTTTGGGAACTCATGAGTGCCCTGTCCCTTTATGTGTCAGCTTCCTCTGTACCTTGCATTTCAGATGACTCAGTGTTCCTCACAGCAAGGTCTGAATGCTCCAAATGCCAACATGTATGTGACAGCTGCCTCTGTCTTCCTGATATTATCTATGTGATGTGATGCCAAATCACTTCAAATCAAGTCTCCAATTACTTCATAATGATATGTAGGGAAGAACCTATAACAGAAGATTTTTTAATAGAAAATAACTGACTTTGGCTTCCCAATATGTGTATCATAATTTGATATTGGGGAATATTATATACTATTTTAGAATATCATTCCAATGTGAAAATTGTAATATGTATTTAGTAGTTTGGAAGAAATACAATGAAAGACCCAGATTTAAACTGATGTCTCTTCAGTTGCTCTATCCCATATGATTTATTGAACACATACACAACAGTACGTATGGGTGTGCGTGTGTGTAACAGAGAGAGAGAGACGCTAAATGTGCCTTTCTAATTATTTTTATTTTAACAATTAAGTTTAAAGTGCAGATAAGTTTAAATTCCAGCAATAAATAGGGTCAAAAAATCATCCCTGTGGCGATGAAACATGTAACTAAAAGTAGGAAGACTTCCATTCATCTGTTTGTATCAATAATGGTTTCATTTTGTCTAATAAAATAGGCTAGAGCTGAGACCAAGGAGACATGATGCCTGGTTTTAGCTGTGCCACTGCTACGGAACATATTGCAATTCATGAATTCCCTTGGCTCCTATGTTCTAAGTCTGTAAAGCAAGCAGATGATACTGCAAGATTTTCAAGTCCACCCCAGTTCTCAGAATCTGGCATAGCTGATTAAAATGCTGTGACCTAAAGATGAGCTGAACAGCCCCTCAGCATATGCATATCTTTCTGACTAATAACAACATGGCCGCACTTCTGGTCTTCTAGCTTCAAGCATTTTGGAATGGTTAATCTACACAATCACTCGGCACACTCTAAAAGTTGACTAATAGGTACGAGGGACGAAGAGCAACCTCTCTGAGTGCAGTGTACTCTGAGTGGGATCTAATAATAGCTATCACTGATGTTTAATAATCTTGCTAGAAGCTCTTTCAGACACAAAGTGGTAACAATATCAATATTCTAATACTTTTCTATTTTCTAAGAATACTTCACATTTAAATCTTTACCAAATTTGAATTGAATCTAAGATATTTTCCCACAAATTTAAGATACATGCTTCACACACCATCGTTAGTTTATCCTGAGCATATTGACTAAGAATTCAGTTCAGTAATTATTACAAAATTACAAGTTGTTTGGATTTTAGCTTCCTTTAGCTTCCATTTGTCTTTTCTTTTTTTTTTTTACTTTTTTTTTTTACTGGATATTTTATTTACATTTCATATGTTATCCCCTTACCCCATCCGCCACCCACCCGGGAACCCCCCATCCCCTTACCCCTCCTCCTTCTTCTCCGTGGATGTAACCCCCACCTACCCCCCCCCACTCCCACTTCCCCAACCTCAAAATTCCCACCCCCTGGGGCGTCCAGCCTTCATGAGGTCAAGGATCTCTTCTTCCACCTGTGCCCGGCAGGGCCCTCCACTCTTACATATTCAGCTGAAACCCTGGATCCCTCCATAAGTGCTCCCCAGCTGGTGGTTTAGACCCTGGGAGCTGTGGTTGGTTGGTATTGTTGCTCTCCTCATGGGGCCACAAACCCTTTCAGCTCCTTCAGTCCTCACTCTAACTCCTCCATTGAGAACCTCATGATCAGTTCAATGGCTAGTTGTGAGCATCTGCCTCTGACTATGTCAAACTCTTGAAGGCCTCTGAGGAGACATCCATATCAGGCCCTTATCGGCATGCACTTCCTGACTTCCACATCAGCATCTACCTTTGGTGACTGCACATGGGATGGATACTCAGGTGGAAAGGTCTTCAAATGCCCCCTCCTTCAGTTTCTGTCCCTCACTTTGTCTCCATATTTGCTCCCTTGAGTATTTTGTTGTTCCTTCTAAGAAGAACTGAATCATCCCCACTTGGTCTTCCTTTTTTATGAGCTTCATGTGGCCTGTGAGTTGCATCTTGGGCATTTCAAGGTTCTGGGCTAATATCCAATAATCAGTGAGTGAATACCATGTGTGTTCTTTTGTGATTGGCTTACTTCACTCAGGATGATAATTTCTAGTTCCATCCATTTACCTAGGAACCTCTCGAATTCATTGTTTTTAATAGCTTAGTAATACTCCATTGTGTAAATATACCACATTTTTTGAATCCATTCCTCAGTTTTGTCTTTTCTTTTAATATGAACACTAGAACTATCTGTTAATTCCATTATACTTAATGCCATTTTGAAGATCAATAGCCTTTTTAAACAATCTTGGTCTTGGAAATATGAATATAAATATTGATTAATATAAATATTTTATTAATGTCTTATTTTCTATCTGGCTTTTATTAATCTTTCAGTTAAAGCATGTTGGATATCTTTTATCAACTATAGCAATTTTGACCAAATATTTGCTTCTAAACTGTTCTGTAGTGAATACAATAAAATATAACTTTATTTGTTTATTTATTTATTTATATTTATTTATTTTGATGCTGGTTGTTGAACTCAGGATCTCACCCATGTTAGGAACAGGCTGTACAAGAGCTACATACCTGCCTATCTGTAATTCATGGATCTCTATTAGAGTTATAATTCTGTTAGTTATTCACTTTCAGTCAGCTTTCTCTGCTGTGCTATATTTATGCCTTTCAAAGATTATCCAGTTTTTGCCTAATTCATCTCTTCCATTGTAGATGCCTTCAGCATGTTACATTAATGTATAGAATCCTACTAGTATGTTTAAAAATATTTCTACTGGCCAGTAAAGACACATGCAACACACATGTTTCTGTTCAAATGAGCAAGTTTCTACTTTAAACATATGAGAAATTTTTAGAACCTATGAAGAAACAAAGGGTATGTTTATAAAAGGGGCAGAGCTGTTCACTATTTTTTGCAGGAAGTTCCTGCTGTGGCTAAATGCTCTGTACTTACTTAGACTATTATAGATATCTCATAAAGGAAAAACAAAGACAAATATTAGCAGTTGTTTATGTGCTGAATCTAAAACTTCCATCCAATGAAAAACAGACCTTGGATGTAAAGGAAAGTAAAAGTATGACTCAATCAGCCTGCAGAGAGAACTGACAAGCCCTAGTTCCTAGTTCACAGTGATAGTTTGGAAAGGTCTATTTCATTCAATCAGAACATTTCTATACTCTATTATTATCATCTGGTATTCTATATTTTTTAGATTTTTAAAAAATGTTTATAGGTGTTTTATTTGCATGTATATGCACCATGTGCATGCCTGGTGTCCAGGAATCTCAGAAGAGAGTATTGGATCCAGTAGAACTTGAAGTACAGATAGTTATGAGCCACTATGTGAGTTTTGGGAACCGAATCCAAGTCCTCTTTGGAAGCAACAAGTGATCTTAATCATTAACCCATCTTTCTAGTTCCCTAATATTCTGTCTTTTATGGTAAAATTCATATATAGATAAACATACAAACACATATACATATATATTCATACACACATACAGTTATTTGAACTTAGGCTTAATAATAAAATGAGTGCTTTCAATTCACTCTAAAATAGGCATACATTTCATGAGACTTTTCCAGTCTTGTTCAAATTTGAGTTGATATCCAACCAAACAGAAAAATTACCCAAGCCTAAAATATCACATTTCATTTATTCTGGGTATTGATGTTACTTTATTTGTTGCTTGTGTTTTGTTCTTCATTTCTGTCATA